ATTAGAATGTTATTAGCATGATTCTAGCATGAATTAGCATGTTGTTTGCATGATTCTAGCATGAATTAGCATGTTACTAGCATGCTTCTAGCATGAATTAGCATGTTGTTAGCATGATTCTAGCATGAATTAGCATGTTACTAGCATGATTCTAGTACGAATTAGCATGTTACTAGCATGATTCTAGCATGAATTAGCATGTTGTTAGCATGATTCTAGCATGAATTAGCATGTTACTAGCATGATTCTAGTACGAATTAGCATGTTACTAGCATGATTCTAGTACGAATTAGCATGTTACTAGCATGATTCTAGCATGAATTAGCATGTTGTTTGCATGATTCTAGCATGAATTAGCATGTTACTAGCATGCTTCTAGCATGAATTAGCATGTTGTTAGCATGATTCTAGCATGAATTAGCATGTTACTAGAATGATTCTAGCATGAATTAGCATGTTACTAGAATGATTCTAGCATGAATTAGCATGTCGTTAGCATGATTCTAGCATGAATTAGCATGTTACTAGAATGATTCTAGCATGAATTAGCATGTCGTTAGAATGACTCTAGCATGAATTAGCATGTCGTTAGCATGATTCTAGCATGAATTAGCATGTTACTAGAATGATTCTAGCATGAATTAGCATGTCGTTAGAATGACTCTAGCATGAATTAGCATGTTGTTAGCATGATTCTAGCATGAATTTTTCTAAAGATAAAGCTGAAAATCTAACATTGTAGTGCTGTATTACTTGTACAGTTCCATGTTTAATGAAAATGAAGAGAAATAAACTCAGATGCTTGTATAATAATTTTAATAGAAGCTCATGAAAGTTTAAATAAGTAGTGAGTACATTTTCATTTTAGATAAAGTATCCCTTTAACAGATCATGATTTATGAAATATGATATGATGCCTGCACTGTATACTGATCTACCTGTGGAGTCGCAGAACCTCCAGTCGGGGTTTGTTCCCTCAGTCAGAGCAGGCAGAGCGGCTCTCTGTCGGACGGCACGGGACGGTCTGGAGCGCTTTATACTTCGCTTCTTTCCCAGATCGACCTTGGAACGTAAAACGCTGGAGTCCAATGGAGGAGCTGAGGACTGATCCAATAATATACACGTAAAAACACACACAAAAACACACTGAGAGAGCTGCACATTAGCCCTCCTGTATATATTTTTCCCTAGTTTCTGTTCAACGAGAACATTATTTTAACACATTTCTAAACATTTCCAATAACTGATTTCTTTTATCTTTGCCATGATGACTAGATATTTTTCAAGATACTAGTATTCAGCTTAAATTGACATTCGTTCTTTTATTCATTCATTTTCTTGTCTGCTTAGTCTCTTTATTAATCTGGGGTCGCCACAGCGGAATGAACCGCCAACTCATTCGCAGCACGTTTTTACGCAGCAGATGCCCTTCCAGCCACAACCCATCTCTGGGAAATAAAGTGACATTTAAAGGCTTCATTAGGCAGGTTAGGGTAATTAGGCAAGTCATCGTATAACATTGGTTTGTTCTTGAGACTATCGAAAATAAATATTGACCTAAAAATAGTTTGAAAAAATTTAAAACAGCTTTTATTCTAGCTAAAATAAAACAAATAAGACTTTCTCCAGAAGATAAAATATTATAGGAAATACCATGAAAAATTCTTGAATCTGTTAAACATTATTTGGGAAATATTTGAACAACTAAAATTTTACAGCAGAGCTAAAATTATCCCTTCAACTGTATATTTACGAAATAACGCACTGTTTTGGAAAGAAGGTAAAATTATAACATTCACCTGAGATTTAAAGCCAAGTTATCTGAAAAAAAAAATTACTAAATCATTATTTTATTTTCGCACAGAAACCTTCTATGTTGTAAAAATTATGTCTGCAAAATTGTTGCAAACAATTTATTTGTGTTTAATTTAAACAAACTAATTACATTTATTAATGTTAGACTTAATTTGCTTGTTTGAATTCAGCCCAAATAAATTGTTGACAACTACTTTACTTTAAAATATTTCAAAATCCAAGGAATCATCTTTTTTTTTTCAGTGTATGCTGTAAAAATGTTGGATCCCATACAATTCCTTCATGTTGTGGCAACAAAAACCAATAAAATTAACATATATATTTTTACTTAAGTGGATTGAACATTGAACAAAATTTGAAGAACTGTTATATCAGCTTATTGTTATAATATATTTAATAATAAGTAGTTTAAACAAGCAACAAAAACATTTATTCAGTGTATATATCATTCATTCATTCATTTTTCTTCAGCTTAGTCCCTTTATTTATCAGGGGTTGCCACAGCGGAATGAACCGCAAACTTATCCAGCATACGTTTTATACAGCAGATGCCCTATTAGCTGCAACCCAGTACTGGGAAACATTCTTACACACTCATTCACACACATACAGTACAGCCAATTTAGTTTATTCAATTAATCTATACTGCATGTCTTTGGAATTGTGGGGAAACCGGAGCACCCGAAGGAAACCCACGCCAACACAGAAAAGAACAAACTCCAACCTTCCCACCAACCTTCTTGCTTTGAGGTGACAGTGCTAACCACTGAGCCACCATGTCAACCTGTATGTATGTCTTGTCAGCTCAGTCCCTTTATTAATCCAGGGTCGCCACAGCAGAATGAACTGCCCTTCCAGCCGCAACCCATCTCTGGGAAACATTCACACACACACTCATACACTACGGACAATTTAGCCTACCCGATTCACCTGTACCGCATGTTTTTGGACTGTGGGGGAAACCGGAGCACCCAGAGGAAACCCACGAGAACGCAAGGAGAACATGCAAACTCCACACAGAAACGCCAACTGAGTCGAGGCTTGAACCAGCGACCTTCTTGCTGTGAGGCGACGGCACTACCTACTGCGCCACTGCTTCGCCCCTATGTATGTCATATTGTAGGAAAAATTTAAGAGAACTTTGTTTCATTAAAAGCAAAAGGGACAGCTCAAAGTAACTCCAAGGTATCTCCTTTCATTCTTTCACAGAACAAACCTATCTGAGGGACGGCACACATAATCTTTTCCAAGCTAGCATGCATTTAGAAGTACTAAAACCTAAAATTTAAATATCCTAATAAATTCATTCATTCATTTTCCTTCGTCTTAGTTCCTTCCATCATTTGGAATGAACCGCCAACTTATCCAGCATATATTTTACACAGCGGATGCTCTTTCAGCTGCAACCCAGTACTGGGAAACATACATACATCCTTATTCACACTCATACACTACGACCAATTTAGTTTATTTAATTCACCTATAGCGCATGTCTTCGGACTGTGGGGCAAACCGGAGCACTCGGAGGATACCCACATCAACACAGGGAGAACATGCAAACTCCACACAGAAATGCGAACTAGGCTAGCTGGGACTTGAACCAGCGACCTTCTTGCTGTGAGGCGACAGTGCTAACCACTGAGTCACCGTGTTGCCCTATTCTAATAGATTCTCTTTCCTAATAAACATTTATTTTGCAATCTTTATTTTTAAAGACCATGTTTATTTCTAAATAGTTCAGTCTCAGATATATGAGAATCCAAATGTTTTAACCCTTTTTCAATAGCTGGAAACCGAATGTTGTATACAGCTGATGTAACTGTGTTTAAAAGGAATGTTTTTACACCGAAACCAGAAATGTAGCTTGTTTTTCCCTTTAACAGCTGTCAGCCTGCCAATAATGTTATTCTTCCAAAGTCAAGAATACCCATGGATGAGTTGACATGGAGTGACCTTATTGCTATGCTATGATTGCTATGCTATCAGGTTAAACTTGACTGATTTCTGTGAGAATCTTGGGTCTATGTGGGTTCCAGTAGGTTTTCTGCAGTATTTGTGATGATTGGGATGCAGCTCAACAGATGATTCATCGGAATGATCTACCTTCTGACATTTTCCAAATGATCAACCAGAAGTTACTGTATTTGTTGCTCTTACAACTGGGATCAACGACAAGGCATTTGTCAAGTAATGTACACATAAATTTTGCTTGTAAAAGTAAATCAGATGGTGATCGGTTATGCATTTCTATGCATTATATTAATATATATTAAAGACAGACACTTTTTAACACCATAGAATGAGACTGAAAAGTACCTCAAGAAGAGGCAGTGGTTCGGGCTCCTCCTGAATTGGGGTATTTGTGTTTTCTGAATCACTGGATGTTTTTCGCCGTCTGGCTTGATTCAGTCTCTGAAGGGCTTGATTGAGTCTCGCTGTGCCCTGACTGAACAGATAAAAGAAACAACACATGAAACTTAAATTTGCACCAGTGTGCAGCTTCCACTTGGATGATGCGAAAGCAGCCACAGGACAATGGTGCCAGTGCACTCACCACACACCAGCTATAGGGGGAGGGGAGAGACAGTAATAGAGTCAATGAGGTGGATGGGGATGATTGGGAGGCCATGATAAGTAGGGATTGATGGAGGGAATTTGGCCAGGACAGCCCAAATGGACAAAAAAAAAAAAAAAAACGCCCAAAATATTAGATTCATATTTTATGAAGTTTAATTTATTTAAATCAAAATTAACCTAGTTACTTCATTCATTCACTCATTCATTCATCATTCACTCATTCACTCATTTATTCATTCGTTCGTTCGTTCGTTTGTTCGTTCGTTCGTTCATTCATTCACTTATTCATTCATTCATTCATTCATTCGTTCGTTTGTTCGTTCGTTTGTTCATTTGTTCGTTCGTTCATTCATTCACTTATTCATTCATTCATTCATTCATTCATTCATTCATTCATTCATTCATTCATTCATTTATTCATTAATTCGTTCGTTCGTTCATTCATTTATTCATTCATTCATTCATTCACGCATTCATTCATTCAATCATTTATTCACTCATTCATTCGTTCACTCATTCATTCATTCACTCATTAATTAATTAATTCTCTGTCGCTTTTCCGGGGCCAGGTTGCGGGGACAGCAGTCTTAGGAGAGAACTCCAGACTTCCCTGTCCCCAGACACTTCCTCTGGTTCTTCCGGAGGGATCCAGAGGCGTTCCCAAACTAGCCGAAAGACATAATCCCTCCAGCGTGTCCTGGATCTTCCCCGAGGCCTCCTCCCAGTGGGACATGTCTGGAACACCTCCCTGGGTAGGCGTCCAGGAGGCATCCGAAACAGATTCCCGAGCCACCTCAGCGGACTTCTCTCAATGTGGAGGAGCAAACCCCTACTTTGAGCTCCTCCCGGGTGACAGAGCTCCTCACCCTATCCATAAGGGTGGGCCCTGCCACCCTGCGAAGTAAACTCATTTCGGCCGCTTGTATTAGAGCTATATTGTTGGGGGATAATGCCCTTGGTAGGGTCTCCCAAGGAAAACATGTCTTAGGTGACCGCTCAGACTAAGTGCGGTTGAAAAAACCTTTTTGAGTATAATAACATCAAGGACTGTGACGTCGCCCAGGAGGCCGCAGCTGGGACCCCATCCTGGAGCCAGGCCTGAGGTTTGGGCTGGTATGCGACATGGGACCATCCTCCCGCAGGCCCACCACATGCAGGGGGAGCTGTAAGGGGCCGGTGCATTGTGGAATGGGTGGTGATCGATACACTACCTTTTAGAGTAGGCAATGTTTTACTTTCGAAATAGCGTATAAATTCATCTTATTTTGGCATTTATAATTTTTTTGAACATATTTAGGCTCTGCTTGTCAATCAGACAATGCTTCTGTTTGTTTTTGTTGTCAATTGTGAAAAAAAATTATCGATAAAAGTGCCCTAATAAAACGCCATGAGTGTAACTGCAGGCACTGCGTGATGTGCATGCACACGAGGGGGACTCTGATTAATCTGGGGAGTCCGATTTTAACAACTTTCCTTCACCTCCTCCTGCGGATTGGTCCATGCAGTTTGCGCTATGCACTGGTCACTCCTAACTGAATGGAGTAGGACACACAGTTGTTTTGTTAAAAGAAGTTGCATAAACAAAAATTGTCGTTTCAAAACCACCAAATTTTTGTCAACCCGCCTATGCCATTTTTATCTGCATAATGAAGATGCGCGGATCAGCTGAAATGTCACCTGACTAATCATCCACGCGGCCGCACATAAAATTTCATGTGATATATATATATCTGCACTCGACCCGCACCCGATCGTATCTTTAATAATTCAAACTCTTTGTTTTAAGCATGATGTTAGGTCAGTGTGGACCGTTTGTTATTAACAGCAGATTCAGTGAGCTAATTTGTACATCCCTTGCCAGAGACAACATGGAAGGGGCGTATATCAAGGCAGCACAGGTCCGTCCACTCATGCATCCACGTTACCTCCAGTTGTATTTTTTGCTGTCCTGACAAATCTAAGAACTTAAAGTGCTTGTCAGACTTTAGCCCCTTTCACACAGTGATACCGGTAAATATCCGGAAAATTTCCGGAACGACTTTACCGGTATGTTCAAAAAAGCGGTGTTCACACAGGCGAGGACGTTACGGAAATTTTCCGGAAAAGAGCATTCACACATCCATTCCAAAATACCGGTAAATTCTGACATCATTCACCACAAATGAGCTTTAAACGGCTGCGCTTGTATTTGTAAACATTTGACTAAATTACAAACTCTGTGGATGATCAATATTGTGAACAACTTTCTCAGGATCACTTTCGCATGTCGAGATGTTCATAATATGTGCGTGTGCTGGCGCTCACAGGCTGTTTCACAGGCACACGAACGTAAACAAACAACGGCTTATCATAAGCCTCTCATCGATGATTATTTACACAGTTGGCATTAAGAAGAACATATAAACGTTACCTGACTAACTTCTAGCAGCTAAATGTGTCTGGAAAAATATTCAAAGGCTTTTATCCTCACAAACCGCGCGGACGTAAATGCGTCTGACTGTTGTGATTGGCTAAAGCAGACGTCTCACGTCAGCACGTTCTAGACGTGCACGCGCTTATTACGGGAATCTTCCTTCTGCATTCACACAGCGCAGCATTCCGGCAAATTGCCGGTAATGTTACAACTTCTCTTTCCGGAAAATAGCCAGAACGAATTTACCGGTATTTTCAAAAAGGACCTGTTCACACATACAACCTTTCCGGAAAATTGCCGCCAATTTTCCGGAAAGGTCTGTATGTGTGAAAGGGGCTTTTGACTTGACCGGCCTTTCGATTTAGCACACACATGATGTTTTAAAATTGAGGTACCGGTCTTGTGGCTTTCATATAAAGTGCTTTACAGTCGTTGCATAGCCTATTACATACCCAGCACTTGATTCAACCTCGTTAACCTTTGCTAAAACGCTGCCATGCGGCACTTTTCTTTCCTTCCTTTTGTTTTGTTTTTAATTCTTCCTTTTTAAGTTTCTCTCGGATCGGTTTCACCTCCATTTCTGCTTTAACAAATGAGTTTAAAAAGTACAAAGCAAAAATCAATATTAATTAAACTCATCCACCTGTGACCAAATTCTCAACTAATCATAATATATTTTTTATTACTAGATCGACTCGTGGATTATCGTTCAGCACCTGCGGATATAACCGCCATCTGCGCATCACTACTGCACAATCAAATTCAAAAGCACCCAATTTGACGAGAAACCTGCCAATCTGGCAATACTGCCAAGGTAACACCTCTACTCTTTATGAGGGGTGCCATGGGATTTTTAATGACCACAGAGATTCAGCACCTCAGTTTAGCGTCTTATCCGAAAGTCGGTGCTCACTGATAGACATAGTGTCCCCTTCACTATACTGGGGCATTAGGACTCACGCAGACTACAGGTTGAGCACTGCTAACTTCACTAACACCACTTCCAACACCTGCCAACAGTTTTCCCATGTGGTCTCCCATCCAGGTACTGACCAGGCTCAGCCCTGCATAGCTTCAGTGAGTAACCAGTCTTGGGCTGCAGGGTGATATGGCTGTGGCTAATGATGATAATGCTGATGGTGGTGTCAGATATTTCTTACCTGTCAACAGTGTCACTGTTTTCACTTTGTTCCTCTGTTTCCTCGATTAGATTCTCTGTGTCCTGATCTTCTTCTGGTTCACAGTCCTTCAACTGATCCTGAAAGGTTTAATAGGAGCAAAATAAGTGCTTTAGTACACATATCGCAGTAAACTCCTGCCAAACCCTGCTGAAAAATACATCCAGTTGTAGTATTTTCAGTTGTGGAAGCTGATTTATCCTACAGACTTCTTAAATAGACTAACCAGCTCCACACTATACTGTAAAAATATCCGTAATTAGCAGTTTTCCGTATTTTGTGACTCATGTTTATATTTCTCCTCTTTATTTATGCTTTTGAATTGTATTATGGGATTTGGATCTTTCTTCCAACAACTTTAAACCTTGAAAAGCTCAAAAAAGTGACTTTTGTGATCTTTTTTTAATAGTTTAAAGTGATATATCGTCTGAGTTGGTGTTATATATTACGTAACAAACACCTTGTAATAAACTGCCAGTAAATTTTCTGATATTTTACACACTTATTTTATAATTCTCTGAAACTGATGGTATGACAGATTCTTGGAGTAAAGCCACTAAAGTGAAACTCTGAGGAGCAAAACTCGTTTGTGGCTCTCGTTTCTTTGCAATGGATTAAACAGGTAGAACATACAGATTTAAGTACAGAGTGTATTTTTTCATCCTTAAAATAGCAAAAGTGGATTCGAACACAGCCTTAATGCTTTTGAACCATACGCTTTAGACTTTGCGCCTAGATCGTTAAAACAGAGCCCTTAATTTTTTGGCTGTTGTTGTTTTTTGTTTTTCATTTGAGTTTTGTTTATATGTATTTTTTTGGCTTAAAGGTCTAAAGGGTACATGGCAATGAGCAAATCTGATGCACAAGTTTGTGCAAAAGTACAAAGCTGCATAAAATATTTATTTCTAAACATATTTTAATGAGCCGACATCGACACACACCTTGTCAAAACTGTCCTTTATACACACACACACACACTGTGCTTTGAACAAACAACAGATACTTTGAATTTCACGCCACTCTGCTTCTCCAAACATGTCATTGTACAGGAATTGTTACTAGGAAACAAAACACTTCCTTGAAAAACAAAGCTCTGCATTGAGCAAATGTTCGTTCCACACCAAGACAATGTGAATTATACGCTATAAATGAACGTGAAACTATTTAAAGTAAACAGATGCATGATTTCTTTCTCTTTTTATACTTACACAGGGTGGAGGCTCTTAAAGACACCGGAAATAATGTTAAAAAAGATGGAAATTGAGTGAAACAACTAAAATGGCAAAGACTAAATCAGAATATGCATAAGAGGACTTAAGAGCAATCATAACACTTATTTAAATATTATTATAATACATGGTTTATCACTTACTGAATCAATGTAAATTGCATTCATTCATTCATTCGTTTTCCTTCGGCTTAGTCCCTTATTTATCAGGACTCGCTACAGTGGAATGAACCACTAACTATTCCAGCATAAGTTTTATGCAATGAATGCCCTTCCAGCTGCAACTCAGTACTGGGAAACACCCATACACACTCATTCACACACTCAAACACTGCGGCCAATTTTAGTTTATCCAATTCACCTATAGCGCATGTCTTTGGACAGTGGAGGAAACTGGAGCACCAGTGCTAACCACTGAGCCACCGTGCCGCCCAATATATTTACATAGCAAACAGCGATTTAAAATTGCAATAATATTTCACAATATTACTGCTTTTACTGTGTTTTTGATTAAATGAATACAGCTATGATGAGTAAAAGAATTGTCTATCAGAAAGACACAGAAAGGAAACCTCAAACATTTAACAAAACAGCAAATCTTCTGAGTTTTGGGTGGATTAAAACTTGTCATGACCAACAGTGATGCTCACAGAGGAAAAAGAGAAGAACTGAACACATTTACAAGTGAGAAAAACAAGCCTCGACAGTTCGAGATTCCAGGTGAAATGATTGCAGAACGCCTCTCGTCCTGTTTAACAGTATCTGATGTGAACTCACTGACTCATGCATGTGAAGCAACAGGATTTATGAGCAGATTCTAATGAATCCTAATAATGTTCATTTACAGATGAGCAAAAGTAAACCCAGATTCAGAAGAAAATTATTCTAGAATGCTTCACGTGGTTTAAACATATAAGTTGTGAAAACACTGACTCATATTCTATCTAATAATTATACTAATAATAGCAATAATGCTAATAATAATGCTAATAATAATAATAAAATAATAATAATAATAACTATTATTATTATTATTAGTAGTAGTAGTAGTAGTAGTATTATCATTATTATTATTATGTACTGGTAAGTCTAGATGTTTTAGATAATAATAAAAATAATAAGAAGAATAAACAACTTTTATTATAATTCAAATCAATATATAACAATGATAAGATATTCAAGAAATAATAATATTCAATAAGATAACGATAATATTAATTTAACTAAAATAATATTTTATTGATGTAATTTATCAATCTAAAATTTTTAAATAAAAACAACAACTAATATAATTATAGTACTGATACAGATAAAAAAGTTCAGAATTCCAGAAGTTAGTAACTTAAATAATTTAATAATTATTATTAATATTAATAATTATTATAATAATATCTCACAATCATTTTTATTTACCAAAAATAATTTTATAGATAGTTTATCAATAAAAAACGAATATAATTATAGTACAAAACAGCCATAAAAAGATCAAAATTCCAGTAGTTAAATAATAATAATAATAATTATTATTATTTTATTATTATTATTCCCCCACAGTCCAAACACATGCGGTACAGGTGAATTGGGTAAGTTAAATTGTCAGTAGTGTATGTGTGTGAATGAGTGTGTGTGGATGTTTCCCAGAGATGGGTTGCGGGTGGAAGGGCATCCGCTGTGTAAAAACATGCTGGATAAGTTGGCGGTTATTCTGCTGTGGCGACCCCGGATTAATAAAGAGACTAAGCCGAAAAGAAAATGAATGAATGAATAAATAATAATAATAATAAACTTTTTAAATCATTAATATATAACAATAAGATATTTAATATATAATAATATTCAATAATACAATAATATTAATTTAACTAAAATAATATTTTATTGATATAATTTATCAATTAAAAAACTAATATAATTATAGTACTAAAACGTCAATAAAAAGATGTTAGTTGCTTAGTAGTTAGTTAATTAATAATAATAATGATAATAATCAATCATTATCATTATCAAAATAAAAATAGCTTAAATAGTAATTGCTCATTTAACTTATACAATATTATATAGATATAAATTATCAATTAAAAAATATTATTTAAATATACTTAAATAAACTGATATAAATATAGTACTAATACTGCTATAAAAGTTCAGAATTCCTGTAGTTAGTTAATAATAAAAATAATAACAATAATAAAAACAACAACAACGACTACTAATATTATTATTAACTATTATAATTAACACCAGCAACAACAAAAACAATATTAAAAATATGCAAAAAATAATATACTCTTTTTCTCTCTTACACACACACACACACACACGCAAATTTCAACTGTAACTTTAAAATAACTTTAAAGATCGCGCAAAAATCCTGAATGTTTTTTTTGTTGAAAGTCTGTACAATTCATGAAAGGTGGACACAAACAGAAAGAATGAGTAGAAGCAGAGAAAGCAGCGTATATCAATCTTACATTACTGGACTGTGCTGCAGTCGTGCGTTTGCGCAGAGAAAACCGATTGCGAAGCGACTGCCGTCCACGAGAAGCGAAACTTCGGAGGGGTGAAATAGCTCTTTCAAAACGTCCCTCTCGCTCCTCATCCTCGCCTTCATCCATCACTTCCTTCCTCTCCAGAGTGCCAGACATAACCTCCACCGCCTCCTGTAAAGAGCGCCGCATGCTGCCCATCCATCCCGACACCTGTGTCTGCGCCTCCGACAGCTTACTGCCCAAAAACTGCATCCTGCTCACCTTGATTGACAAAGTTGAGGAAGTCGAGTCTTTTTGTTGTTTTGTGGGGTTTAAATCCCCGATTTGAAGTCTAGAAGATGATGTACTCAATGGTCCTTGGCATCACAGAGTTCACCCCAACTGACAAAGTTGAGGAAATCCAGTCTTTCTGTGAGTTTCATGGATTTAAATCCCAGACATGAGGTCTAGATGGTAATGCATACAATGAGCATTGGCGTCTATAAAGGTATAGACTTTCCCCTGATTGATCCCCTGTCTTCCGGTTGTTTTTTGGGTTTAAATACCAAGTATGAGGTCTATGTGGGGAGAGACCCAATGTGCATTGGCATTTATGAATGGATAGATTTGACCATGAATGACAGAACTTAGGAAATGAAGTCTTTCTGTGAGTTTCATTGGTTTAAATTCCAGATTTGAGGTCTAGAAGATGATGTATCCAATGTGCTTTGGCATCACAGTTTACCCTGACGGACAAAGTTGAGGAATTTGACTCTTTCAGTAGTTTTTTGGGTTTAAATCCAAATGAGGTCTATGTGGCGATAGACCCAATGTGGGGCTAAAATCCCAGTTATAGAGATGTATCCAATGTGCATTGGCATCTATGAAGGCATAGATTTTACCATGAATTACAAAGTTGATGAAATCAAGTATTTCTGTAAGTTTTATGGGTTTAAATTCCACATATGAGCTCTGGAAGAGGATGTATCCAATGTGTATTGGGATTACAGATTGTGTTTTGATTCACAAAGTTGAGGAAATCGAGTCTTTTAGTTGTTTTGGGGGGGTTTAAATCCCAGATGTGAGGTCTATATGGTGATGTATCCAATGTGCATTGGCATCAAAGATTTTACCTCCATTGACAAAGTTGAGGAAATAGAGTCTTTTAGTTGTTTTGGCGTTTAAATCTCAGATATGTGGTCTAGACGATGATGTATCCAATGTGTATAGGGATCTAGACATAGATTTTACCCCAATTAACAAAGTTGAAAGAACTTTCAGTTGTTTTTTGGGTTTACTGTAAATACCAGTTATGAGGTCTATATATGCCAATGTGCCCTGGCATATATGAGGGCGTAGATTTTATCATGAATTAAGGAACTGA